ACGCAGACAGATGGGGCTGGATCAGTGCACTGAGCGCTCTGAGGTTTCCAGACAGGGCCACCACAACCTGTCAGCCTGCACTGAGCCCCTGCCTCCTCCTCCAGTGAGCAAGCCCATTTTTATTTATTTTAACAACTGTGCATAGAAGACAGTTCTTCAGAAGTTAAAAAAAAACACATTTATAAATGTCTAAGAGTGGCTTCATGAGAGGAAAAAACTACATAAAGATTTCAGAGCACCGCTAAGTGGAGTAACGTAACAAGTTTCTCAAGATATAAAACAAGCCTCCCCGAAATACACAGCTCAGACAAACCCTGCCAGCAGAAGTACTCAATGTTTAAGATGAGGGAAGAGAGATTCAAAGAGGATGTGTTTTCCTGGCAGCCCTCCATACGTGCATATAAACCTCTCGTAGCAGCACACTGATATTTAAACTAATTAGCACCAGGAAAGCCACGGGACTGTGCTTTTCTCTCAGCCTATTCACAGGGACAGGAGGACTCCAAAAATGCCTGTGATTACATCCCACTCACATAGCAGGATGCTGCAGTCCACGAGCCCCAGCACACCCCCTTCCTCCCCAAGTACAAGGCAAGAGGAACACGGTGCAGGACACATTGCAAGGAGGAAAAAAAATCGCCCCACTACCCAAAATGCCCACTCAGCATTATGTGAGAGGATAAAAATAGCAAGCAGCAGAGCTGGCCCTGAATATCAAGCAGCATTCCCTGTTCATTGCAGCACAATGTGAGCAAGAAAGAACCCAAATCAACTTCCCCTTCGCTCTGTTCTCCTGCAGGCTGCACGTTGTCTGAATTTCCTATTCCTCATAAACACGCTGGTGGGGAATTAGCTCAGGGGAGCTGCAGACTCACACATCCACCATCATTGCAATGGCAACCCCCCACCAGCCTCTGGAAACAGCTCCTGACTTCCAGAGGAGAAAGGACAGGCTGGGGGGGTGGGTTTTGTGAATATTCAACACCTCTGCACAGCAGGCCTGCCTATTATTAGTATAGGGGATGTCAAAGAAGCTGGCTCTCATGCAAAGTTTCCATTCCAGCTAATTAACAGTGGCTCCCTCCAGCATATAAATTTGGGCTTTAGTCCCTTGTACAAGAGCATGCAGGGCAGGAGGGGAGGAAAGGGGCAGAGAACAGGAATGGCTACAGTCATCTTTGGGAACTGAAAGGCTGAAAATCAATCTCATGGAGGGAGAACCAACACACACCTCCACACACTGAGAGGATGGTTCCCATTTTAGGAAGGGCTGAGTCTCCCAGAGTACCATCCCCACCTGGAGCAGCATCTGCTTATGGAGAGAGCTGACACCTTCCCCTGGGAGCAAACAAGTCCCTTTTGATAGGAAGCAGCAGAAGCCATGAAGACAGTCCAGGATGGGACTGTCATCCTCTGCTTCTATCACCCAGACCATAAAACATCTCCCAGCACTGCCCTGGGGCTGGAGAAGGTAACTCATTGCTGCCCTTGTCCGTGCTCCCCAGGGATCAGCCACGTCCCAGCTGGCAGGACCTGCCTGAGGGTAAATCAGATGCTGAGGGCCCTGTCAGAGCCAGGGCAGCCTTCCAGGTTCCTCTGGGATCTCTGCACTTTGGGATACCTTGAGGTTTTGATTGTGCCAAACTGCTCCCATAAAAGCAAAGGCTCTGAGTGGCCTAAGTGCTAAACCAAAGTGCTCTGCACATAAACCCTTTCAACGCAGAGTTTTCTCCAGGCTGAAAAGTGTACTCTGGAAGGAAAATAAAATACTGAAAGCTTTCAGAAGTCAACTCAGTCTGACCCTCTTTAGTTTTTACCTGCTTCTTTAAATTAGGAGAAAAATAAAAAATAATTGTACGGCTTTACACGTACCACCCTCTAGTGCTTCAGTTTTCTTACTCCTCCTACAAAGTGGGAACAATAATCCACACCTACTCCACAGAAAACTTCTAAAGCTTGTGCCCAGACTTGCAGACTCTTTGGTTAAGAGAAGAGAGCCACAAGCAGCATGAAAAAGCACAGGTTTGTGCATGCACACATGCACTCCCAGGATGAAAATCAGATGGAGACACTTGCCCTTCTCCACTCTCCTTGCAACTGCGTTTTGCCATCCCTGCTCTTTTGAGGTGCAGTCAGCTGTAAAATGAGGGACACTGATGACAGATGTGACAAACCATAAAGGATGGTCTGACGAGGGGATTCCTCCTTGGGCTTAGGATCAGCCCCTCAACCCAGATTTCTAGGTTAGCAGGTAGTTAAGGGATGCCATTTCTAACTCACACATACAATTCTACAATTTAAAAAAAAAAAAAAAAAAAAAAAAAAAAAAAAAAAAAAAAAAAAAAAAAA